AATATGTAGTACAAAATTTCGCTAACACTTATAATTCTTAAAATCCATTTTTTATTTCGATTTTCTTTTGAACAACCTATCAAGGAGGTTACATACAGCGCCATCTGCCCGCGAATAGATCAAGCAATAATGTCGATAATTCTGTCAATACAGATCCGGAGATTGAGAGTTACAAGCAAACAAACATACATACAGGTGAAGCTAATATAAAGCGTGTTGATAATTAAAACAAAAATAATGTCGATATATCAAGGGTGTTACGTACAGCGCCATCTGCCCGCGAAGAGATCAAGCAATAATGTCAATAGTTACGTACAGCGCCATCTGCCCGCGAATAGATCAAGAAATATCAAGCAGGTTACATACAGCGCCATCTGCCCACGAATAGATCAAGCAATAATGTCGATAAATCTGTCAATACAGATCCCGAGCTTGAGAGTTACAAGCAAACAAACATACATACAAACATACATACATACAAGTGAAACTAATATAAAACATGTAAAAAAGGTGATACATTGAATAAAGTTCTGAAGGCAAAGTTTTCTTCGGGTCTTGTGATAAATGCGATGATGGTGGAATATAGAGGTCTCTTCGGAAACTATAGAGAATAGAGTTGTACGCCTTCTGGCTCAATTGGAAAGATCGCGTTATCCACTTGCAGCTGCAGTTGCTGAGCGTGATATTTATGTTGATGATATTGTGACATCTGTTAATTCAGAAACAGAGTTAATAGAGCTTCAACCTCAATTACAGATAATGTTCGCATCAGGAGGTTTCACACTTTCTAAGTGGTGTTCCAATTCCCGTATACTGATGCATAGGATTCCGGAAGAATTTCGTCTACATTCAACATTTGATTTTGATCAAGTACACTATTCCAAAATTCTTGGAGTCCAGTGGGTAACCCACAAGGATATGTTCACCTATACCATTGATATCAATAATTGGTCCTGTACGAAACGCACTATACTATCATTAACTATGATTATATTTGATCCCCTAGGATTAGTTGCTCCTGTTACTTTGAAAGCCAAACTAATTTTGAAAGAACTGTGGAAACATAACATCAATTGGAACGATGATCGTCCAGTGGAAATTGTTAACCAATGGAAGGATTATATAGAAGCTCACTCTCTTTGTTGATAGTCTGATAGTTTTNAAGCAGCTTCATTGGACATTTTATTTTATTGTAATTTCATTCCAAGGTTCTTTTGCTTAATATAATTGTTGTTTTCAGCTATTCATTTTAATTTTATTGATCATTTCCAACCTAACAGACAATGGAAGTCCGAACTAATGAAATTCACCTATTCACCATGAAACATTGTCAATATTTTTTAAATCACTATCAATCGATGTTTCCTGATCAATAAGCTGATTTATTTTATCAGAGTAGTACAATTTACTTCGTCTGCATATGTATGAGTGTTGGAGAAGTCAGATGTGTATCTAATAAAGAGTAACAAGGCGAGAATTGAACCTTGCGGGGCTTCAGTTTCAATATAAGAGTTCTCTTTCATGGAACACATTTCCAATGGTGGACTTCGACTACCATCTGAAACCTCTTTCTAAATACTTACTTCATTCTATGAGGAAGACATATGAGTGATTATGCTTGAGATGTAATACTGAGGTTACGTACGTTATTTATATATTTTTGTTTGTTTGTTCGATATATAGACAAAAATAACCTCACGAAGAATGTTTCTATTTATTTTTTTCAATTATTTCAGTTCGTATGTTACTGTCATATTTTCTAATTTCAGTTAGGACTTTAACGTTTAAATCTGTAAACTGCATCCTGGTCTAAAAAAGGATCATGAACAGATGCACAAAAAGAGATTTGTGAAAGGATTAGTGTTTCACATAACACTGGTGTCTCACAGAACATTCATTTTTACAAACCACAAAAAAGTATCTATGATCAAATTTAGTCTAGAAACTATGAAGATTATATATTTTACTGTGAATAATAGATACCTACTTACTATTGTTTCAGCTTCAACTATACTCGTATGAACAATATCTCCATATCTATTCAAGACCCTTTTCTACGTTTCATATTTGTTTCAGAAGTTTTGGGGCCAAGTGCTCCATATGCACCAGAGGAATATCTTCCAGCGATTGGGTGCGAAAAGCCCGAGACCACGTATACCACCTCGCTTGCTTCGCTTGCGCAGCTTGCCATAGACAGCTGTCAACCGGCGAGGAGTTTGCTTTGCATGAAGAAAGAGTCCTCTGTAAAGCACACTACTTGGAAATACTGGATGGTGGAACCACTTCATCTGATGGTGAGTAAAAATACTAAANCAGTTTTTGGTCCTCTTTTAGACACGAAATAGAAACTTCATCTTCTATAAGAGAACTTGCTGACTAATTAATAATAAAAAAATCATTCTATGTCTTCAAGCTTTCCTGGAGTGTGCACTTCATTTCTATTATTTCTCACCATTCCTGTGACTACAGTTAGTGCCGATCGATCATTTTCGAAACCGAAATTGATAAAAACTTATTTGAGACATTCTATGGGACAAGACAGGTTGAGCAAGTTGGCTATTCTATCCATCGAAAATTCTATGGCCCGAACTTTGATGATGTCATTACCACTTTTGCTGAACAAAGAGTCCGAAGGAAAGAGTTTTATTAATTAACATTTTATATTTTGAACACCTTGTGTGCTTACAACAATATAATGATTCGGACTGCCTATATCAAATTGCTTTTTTGTTTTTCAAATCTTACTACTCTATGTGACCATATCAATTAGATGCTTACTGTACTTTAAATTAGATACTTTTAATTTGAAGTGAATCATTAGAAAATTATGTACCTAAGTATAATTATGAAATTTGTATGTACCTATTTAACATAGTGATTTATTATTGTACTCTCACATGTTAAAGTGTATAATAAGTATTACAAAATAAAGAAATAGTATTATTGTTGGTTCAGCTTCTTCATATTGGGGGGAGGGGGCCTACCCGATGAATTTGCCACGGGCCTCGAACGGTATAGTTACGCCACTGTCACTTGGTATACTTTTTGCACAGTTTTTGGTTGCCAACTCTCATGAATATTACCTACAATACGAGTATGGAATAAATTCGATATTTTCAAAACCAAAAGTCGGTTTTGCAAAAAACTGAAACACGTCGATTTTTAATTTTATTATTCTACATTTTACAACAAAATTTCATTATACAGGGTGATCCATATTAATGTGACAACGTCATCGGTATTTTTTTTAAATACAACACCCTGTATTTGGTATCAGTTTTAGATAATCAGTAACGAGCTGATTCCAAAAAGTTATGATACTTAGAGTCCAACGGACAGAATGTGAAAGATAAGGGCTTAGAAAATAAATTTTATTGATATCTAATGAAAGTAGAAATGAATTAATTATTTTATATTTTTTTCTAATGATTAACTTAACAATGAGAAAGTAATCCAGTAACAAATACATGACACTTTATTTTAAATGTTCGAACTGTAGTCCTTGCTGTAGTTGACAGTAACCGTGCTAATAAGTAATTCTTATTAATTTCAAAAACTAGGGGGTTATTGTGAAATGTCATTATTTCGATTGACGTTCAGTAACTGTTGAATAGGACAGTAGTTGTTGTATTAATTCGTGAATTTTCTGTAGTATTGCTTCGAATTAATTTGAAGTTGTAATGAATTTGAGTGTAAAGCAAAGAATTGAAATACTTATGATGATAGGCTATGGAGACATATCGCGAACTTAGATGGAAGATGGAACTTTGATACATTGGTTTTGTTAAACGCTTGAGCCCGTGCAGCTGAAGTCGCATCAGGCTTCCGTAATGCAATCATAGGGTGGCGTTTTCTAAATCACTGTACCCAATCTTTCCCAGCAGCTTTTTTTCATGACTAAAATTATGAGGTATGCAATTTTTAACAGCGAGTTTGTAGGCAAGAGCCTGTAGATCAGCGACTATTACACCAAAAAAACCCACTTCCATGTCCAAAAGATGGTTAACTATTTCTTTTTCCTGCTCCTCAGTAAATATGAGCCGAAAGTGATCAAGAACCTTTTTTGTGTTTACTGCATGAACATTTTTGTCGAGTGCACGACGTTTTGAAGTATTTCGAGGTACCTGGAACCTTTTAGCTGCGGTTTGCCGAGGCAACCCGTCCTTCTTCACTGCATCGATGGCCTTTTGCATAGCTTCAGAGTTCCAGGACTGCTGAGCGGGTTTCCTTTCATACTTGGACACCATACTGTTCTTCTTCTGTAAAAAAACCACGGAATTAGAATAACTGAAGTTTGCCGTAATCTTGCTCTTGATATAATAAGCCTACTTAGTTTTGTTTGTGATGAATGCAGTTTCAAAAATCAAGTTTTATGCAACATACATTGTGGGCAAAGTGGACACAGCCGTGGCCACTTTGCCCTCTAGCACGCCATTTTCTGAATACAATATTTCACGTACAACCAATTGTAGTATCTACTGTTGAGACATAAGAATTCAAAGCTAGAAACATGTTGTTTTGAACGATTGATGTACAATTTACTTCACCTATGTCTACAATGAAATAAAGCGTAACATGCGATGCACTTACCTAACATCAGAGGGTCGAAAAAGTGGAAAATTTGCGTCTGAGCGGCACCAAACTACAACACAATAACAGCGGCTGCCGGGCGAGTAGTTGAGACTATTGCCGCGAGGCTGCAGCACTATACAGGGAAGAAAACTTCAAGTGGCAACTTTGCTCGCAGTGGCCACTATGCCCACCCTTTCCCTAACTTATTTAATGAAAAATATACAAGAAGACGCATAACGCAGTCAGCAGTAAGTAAGATTGAAAATAAATTTCGAGAGACTGGTACAGTTGAAAACGCACGGAAATCAGGTCGTCCTTCTGTAAATGATGATACAAAACTATGTTCTACTTGCTTTCGAAGAAGATGTGCACACTTCTGTTCGCAAGGTTAGTCGTGATTTCGATGTCAGTGAAGCAACTGTACACAAAGTATTGAAATTGGAAAAATGGCATCCCTTTAAAAACGAACTTCTACAGTAATTAAACGAGAATGATCCAGATAGAAGAATAAAATTTTGTGAAGCCATGATAACTGTCACCGTGACCGTCTCCTCGTAAAATTATAATTTGTTCTGATGAAGCCACTTTTACATTAAATGGTGGGGTCAACCGTCAGAATTGTAGGTACTGGGCCAAAAAAAACACCTACTGGATGCGTGAACATCATACACACAAGGTAAATGTACGGGGTGGCATTGTGAAGCCATGATAACTGTCACCGAGACCGTCTCCTCGTAAAATTATAATTTGTTCTGATGAAGCCACTTTTACATTAAATGGTGGGGTCAACCGTCAGAATTGTAGGTACTGGGCCAAAAAAAACACCTACTGGATGCGTGAACATCATACACACAAGGTAAATGTATGGGCTGGCATTGTGAAGCCATGATAACTGTCACCGAGACCGTCTCCTCGTAAAATTATAATTTGTTCTGATGAAGCCACTTTTACATTAAATGGTGGGGTCAACCGTCAGAATTGTAGGTACTGGGCCAAAGAAAACACGTACTGGATGCGTGAACATCATACACCCAAGGTAAATGTATGGGCTGGCATTGTAAGAAACAGGATCATCGGACCCTAATTTTTCGACGGTACTTTAGGTGAGACAAAATACCTTCAGTTTTTGAGGGGATATCTTGTACCTACTTTAATTCATTTATTCCTTAGTAGAATCAATCCTGGAAGTTTTGATGAAGGTTTATGGTTTCAACAGGATGGTGCGCCTCCACATTATTCTGCAGATGTTCGAAGGTATCTCGACCAAATGTTTACGAACCGATGGATTGGTAGAAGTGGACATATTGAATGGCCAGCGAGGTCGCCAGACTTGAATCTGTTGAATTACTTCATGTGTGGACATCTGAAGAATGTTGTTTATAAAACGAAACCAGCAAATATTCAAGAATTAAAAGAGAGAATTCGAACAGAAATAAACAATATTTCTCTGTAGAATGGGAACTTCCAGAGTTTACTAATCACTAATTGGGAGATGTCTATACGATGCCAACTCAATTGGCATAGTTGAGAGACAGTATTTTTGTTCTGGTTTGGGAAGAATGTTTCAAATATATGAAGCTATACATATTTGTACATCAATCTTAAGTTTTTATGGAATTAGGCACCAGTGAATAAATTCATTTTGCTATTACTCGAAAGTAATTTATCACTTGTCGCCAATGCTATTTCTGGGGTTTGGTGTTACTATGTAACGCTAGTTGCACACACACCGATTTTGGACGGCCGACTTTGTACCGGTTGTCCAAATTCCAATAGTGAACCACATGTGGGAACGGGACCTGGTTCACACGCCGACCGGTGATCGTCGCCGGTAAAATACCGGTGAGCAGCCGTCCACTGCCACTGAATCGCCGGCAGTACCGGGAAGTAGTGGCGTACATGACTAAATACACTCTCACCGGTTTTTTACCGACCATTCCAGTCTCGAATGCTCGGTGAAATTGTAGTTACTACGCATTAACTTCGTTTTGGTAGTGCGTGCTAATTACGACAACAAAGCAACTGATTGTTTGACCGATAAAAATCCGGTGAGTGTGCAAGCACCCACTACCAATAAAATATCGGCCGATTTTATACTGGCCGTCCAAAATCGGTGTGTGTGCAACTAGCGTATCAAATAAAATACTTTCTCCAATCGATAATATATATATTACGGAAAGGATCTGAACAACAACTGAGAAATACTGTGCTTTTACAATGCAGAAAACCAACGGATATTATTAAAACCCTTCATAAGAAGAACATAAAAACAAAGCGGTAGTACAGTCAGGGAAGTAGATATTTCGGAAACGAAATACACTACACATTTGAATGGAACCAACTCAAAATTTGTCCATAATAAATTCTGATATACATTTGTAATGGAATGAATTCGAAGTTGAACTTCCTATTATGGGGGCTGGGTTGGCTCCCGGGTCTAGAACCCAGACATGAGGAGCCTTTTTCTGCGAAGTTTGAGTTCAGCTATACCAATTTTTCGTTATTAAAAGAGTCAATTCACGAGAACTGATAAATTACTTCTCGTCAGCCATTATGGAAATGGTACCAAAACAGGATTGGCAAGCACTACTAAAGTAGTTGGTATTTATGAAAAATCAAGATATACGAATTTATTTTCCTTTCGTATAATTCAATGTTGATATAAAACAGTTTCTTGGAGAGGGCTTTGTTCAGTTTGTGTCCGAAAGTTACTCCTTTGCATGATCTACAAATCTTTTTTCAGAGTTATTTTTTTAATTGAATGCCTACTTCCTTGGGAAATTCTTTGCATACATATGGAGAAGTACAAAGCCAAAAACCTTTCTTTCCCGCAAATACTTCATTCAAAAGAATTCGATAATTCACCTGTGTTCTATTCGAAAATGATTTCTAGAATCTGAGGTCGTTGTGAACTATTTTTATCTTCATTTTCAGATGGTTGTGACGCAGAAGGATACCACAAAAACAAAGCCAAGCGGGTCAGAACGACATTCACAGAAGAGCAACTACAGGTGCTACAGGCAAATTTTCAGCTTGACTCAAACCCCGACGGGCAGGACCTGGAAAGGATCGCTCAAATAACAGGCCTCAGCAAACGAGTTACGCAAGTCTGGTTCCAAAACTCTCGGGCGCGACAGAAGAAACACATGCATACGGGGAAAGTGAAAAACCAATGTAAGTAAAGAAATATTGAGGATAGGTATCGATTTTGAGAGCCTATACCAAGTCTAAAATGTTCTTACTGATAAACAAACGTTGAGATCAACTAATGAAACCATTGTGAGTGTAAGAAACTCCTGAAAGTATACATCTATGATTTTTCACTACTACACAATTTTCACTTTTGAACTCAGTTTCAACTATTCAATCCAGTTATTTTTTCTATATTTTCGATTATTCCTGTCTTGTGACCTCAAGAGATTCTTCGATTTCTAGAAGAGCCAGTCGCTTATCTCACATAATTTTAATTCAGAAGTTGAGCTGATCAGAAGCAGTGTTCTAATATTGATAGAGTTTCACTTCGAAATCAGTATTCCACAGGGTTCCGTTGTAGATCCCTTACTGTTATTATTGGTAGGCGTGGCTGGGTTTCTCTTAGTTGGCTTACCTGACCTTGTTTGTGTATTACTGAGGAGATGAAGCCAGATTTTATTGATGTTTATTGCCTCTTATTCTATCGAAATTATCCCTGTGTTTTAAATTTCTTTTGCCTCACTATATACCCTCGGATAGTAATCATGAGTTTCGACAATTTCTATTGTGTACCTTCACTTCTTTTCGAGATTCCCATGTGGACAGATCTGCATTTACAAGAAATTCGGTATCCTGGGTGTTGCTGAAGGTTCTCTGGGGTCCTTAGCTGACTTTTGGTCAGCTGGTTTTTGTTGGTCTCAAGTTGGTATCACGTGGTGTTTCTCTAGGATTCTCTCAATACAGTCTGTAACAGCCTCAATGCCTTCCTGGCCATACTGGCCTAGTAATGAGGCTGCTGACTCCCTTGCAAAGGGGGGTGCTGCAAGCAGCTTCATTGGACCAGAACCTATCATTGGCATCACTTTAGGCTTTGCCAAACAAAGATTGAATACCTAGATGGCAAGAAGATTTATGGACTTCTGGCAGAAACTTCCAGGATTGGCTCACTCCAAGGCGTTTATTCACCCTTCGAAGCTTGATACAAAACAGTTGTTGGACTACAGTAGGGATGTACTACGATGTCTGAAGGGTCTTCTTGCAGGCCACTGTCATTTGAATCATCATATGCAGAGACACGGACTGTTGGAAGACGGTGTGCGTCGCCTATGTTTGGAAAATTATGAAACAGCAGAGCACATACTTTGTGCCTGCCCCGCTGGGGACTGAATCAGGTTTTTAGAGTTTTGCAGAACCATACTCCTACCATCTGACCTGAAAGACCACTCACCAAACAAACTAATCGGCTTCGTTAAGAAGCTGGTTCATTTGGTCGAGTGTGAATAGGTGTGAGCCACAATAAACCCTCGCGGGTTGCGGTGGAGGGTCGAATACACCCACTCACATTGGACCTAACCTAACTTAACCTAGGGAAGGAAAGCCTTTCCCTAGCTGGGGTAACTTCGGCGTTCTCTCTCCTGGGTTGTATGGCCCGCTCTAATTCTCCTTCGATCTACAATTTTCTTTGAAGGCATTTTTTCAGGTGATTGAGTTCTTCAGGAAGACTCTCAGGTTCACAGATACGTCGTGCTCCCTCAACCAACGTTTTAATTGCCACTCTATTTTGTTGTGGTTTGTTCAAGTATCTGTCTGTGTGTGCTGGTTTTCTGTTCACTCTGTAGCCCAATGTACCATCTTCCATGTACAAGAATATAAGAGAAATTGTCGACTCCGACAAACCGACAAATCAGCTGTAGCTGAAGATGCTTTCAACAAAGAAGGCACTCACATTATCACATTGGGTATAACGGGAACAACAACTCGAGCACTAACTCGGGCATTGCGATCGTTACCACATCGCCGTTGATTATGTCCATCTCAGTAGTAGACGAAACGTAAGGCATATGTGTGTGTGTGTGTTATGTGATAGGTCGTATTTAGCCGTCAATTTTAAATCTTTCAATCTTCATGCTCAATACCACATGTAAAAAATAACCATTCTTGTTTCAGTACATAACAGAGAAGAAAGCGGCTTTGGAAGACATTTGAATTTGCACCTCACCTACTCATTTCAACAGCAAAACAGTCATGACCATAAACCTTCGTCCATATATTCCCAACCAGGTAATGAATATGACATGGGTAGGTACACCTTATTCTCAATTACTTTCAATAGATAATTTGGCTCGTATTTTGAAAAATCCTTCCCCTTCAATATACTCCTTTTTACTATCCCTACATCTTTCCATTCGAATTTTCCACTATTCAAAACATATCTTGAAAACATGTTCATGGTCTCCATCACTTTTTTCTTCATAGCTTCCACTGACACTTCAGATGCTTTCTTCAGTTTTGGGGAAATGAAAAATCACACAAAACTAGATCTGGTGAGTCTGGTGGATGTTTCAATACAGAGATCAAATGATTGTTCATAAGTAACCTAATAATCACTGTAAGCTGGATCATGGTCCTGATGAAACATCCACGACTTGTTCTTCCACAACTCTGATCATTTTCTTCTCAATTGCTCACAGAGAGTGGTTAGAACATAAAAAAAAAATGTATTCAGTGTTTTTTGTTGGGTTCCTGTAGGAACTCAAACTACCTCTTTAGGAACCGAAACTACCTGTTTCGACATTCATGCGATGTTTGTCGTTGTTCATAGATCAATTTTCGCATTTTTGACTTCTAAACTTCCGAATGCATCTAAACACAACAATTTAAACCCTTTCACTCTGTGGCCATTGTCTGAGGCATGTTGAGTGATAATCGATTCATCATGAAACCGGATTTGTGAAACATGTTCCTTGTTGCGATACATTATACTCCTCTTGATCTGACCAACATACTTTTCAAGGTACGCGGTTGGTTTCGTAAATACAAGACTTGTTCTTTTCCATCTTGTGTTTCGAATTATACAAAACATGTTCTGCAAATTCTAAAATTCTTCTTAAAGTACATTAAATTCTACACTTTTACCGTCGTTTACTATAACTAGAACATTCAGGAATTTCAGCTCGTTATTTTCAATTTCTTACGTGAACTTTATATTTGGTAGAGCGAGGTCAAACATTTTGTTTGTAGTTCGCTTCAGCCTACTTCGAGGAATGATACTCTGAAAGAATTCGATCGAAATCATCGACTTTATGTTGATGATAGAGACTACCACACCTCTAACGAGTGGCCAAGCAGCCCAAAACCGGTCTGCAAGTGTTTTCCAATAATTGAAAATCGATTCCGGCAGTTGTATCGTCAACAGAATATGCAGAAATCACTTCAGTGAAGAATCATGCACTGACACTTGTTGGATATAATCCAACGCCCTTCGTGGTATTATCCAGGGGAGTAGTTGTTTTCTGATAACTGTCAGTTCTCATTAACTATCACATTATATGTAATTTTTTTATTATGTTCATTCGATAGCACTTATAACCGATCCCTAATATTAAATAATTATTGAGGGATAAACTTCTTAATTACATTCTTCAAAAAAGAAAACAACGTTTTTAAAAGCCTTCGAGAAACTGCTGACTTTGGATCAACTTGCAGCAGCATTTGGGAATGGAATTCAAATCTTATTAGCAGTCTGTAATGCTTCAAAATCCGTGAACAGTATATCTGTATCTGTAGAGTAGGGAGTTGAGTGTAGACCCACAGCAATAAGGCCACATGTGGCCCATTGTACATCCTCCAGAGGAGTTGTCCTCCTAGGTCATCGTCCATTATGACATCTCCTTCATATCGGCAGGTGAAGGCCAAGACTCGCCGAACACACCCTCTCTTTGGCAACCTTGAGGTGTCTCACGACAGCCTTCGTGAAGGTTTTGGAAGGTGCGGCGCCGCAAATGCGCTTACGCCTTGGCCTTTGTATTATATCACGAGGTGATCTGCCATGTCCAGACTCATTCCAAGTGGTAGATTAGGATGGACATTTCTGTTTATCCTCAACCACCGCCATAGATTGAGGTGAGCATTTTTGTCCAGCTTCGGGATTGTTTCTGTTTTTTTTTTGTGTCTCTTTTTGTATTTGTTTCATTCATGTGTGTTCCCACGAGTAGCAGGGGAAGAGTTGGTCACTCTGGCAGAGTCCCGCATTACCAAAGGAAGGCTGATTACAATGAGGTTTCCCCATTCCCGTTTCCCCATTCAGCCGCCATTCAGCTGTCGGCATGATTCCTCACACCTTAGCGTGGGTAGGCTGGTCCACGGTGATATGTTTCGCAAAAGCTTTTGGGGAGTTTTAGTTCCCCTCGTCCTTTTTATTTCTGCTACCAACCAAGAGTCCGGCGACCCCGTCTGTAAGGCCACATTGGCTTCCCGGACAGGGCTCCCAATCCCCTGGTCGTTCTCCTATCCGCCACCTGTGGACGCGCTCGATAGGTAGTCCAACCCACGGGTCTGTGAACAGTATCGATCATCTTCGTTGTGTACAATACATAAAGTCTACAAAACTGAATGAAGCTATACAGTTATCTAATATTCCACCACCAAGTGCAGCAGCTCACCAACATCTCAATGGTGTTTATTGTCAAGTTCAAATTTATGTAGGACATGATTTGGAACCCCAGAAATGGAGTTGGACAATGCGTAACGAATTCCTGGAACCTATCACAACAGTTTTAGCACCTGCTCCAGAGGAATTGTTGAACACAATATTCTGCAACTGCAAGAGTGGTTGTGGTTCGGGATGTAGAGCTTGTGGCCAGTGTCATGGGCAAGCTTGTCTCAATTCTTTACCATATCATAACGATAATCTTATGGCCCTCATTGTGTGAGATGATTGTACGTACAGATGTATATAAACACCTCAACATTCCTAAACTTCGAAGTAGGAATGGATCAATTGGCGAGAAGCGCTTACTGCGCAACCTCTGCTGCAGGCAACCAGGGATGCAATTGAACCGAGGTTTGTGTTTAATAAACCCTAAAAAATTCAAATACAATGCAATGCAGATGCTACAAATGCAGTACGCATATATACAGATGGCTCGAACACCAAAGAAGGCTCAGGATGTGGAGTGTACTCCAGATCACTAAATGTAAGGATTAAGTGGGGAATGGAAAAAAATAATAGCGTGGTTCGAACAGAACTGGCTGGTATCTCAATCGCCACAAAAGAAATAACCAGGAAAGGAATTTCTGGCACAAACATAACAATCTGCACTGATAGCAGACAAGCCCTGTTATATTCAACATATAAAATTGTTAATCCCATCTCAAATGAAAATTGTGACTAACAGATATAAAAATAATTACATGAAAATAATTGAATAACAGTTATTTGATTTTTTTTTCAGATTCATCACTTGACGAACTATCACAAGAATCAACTATGCATTGTATGCCAAATGAAGTGTAAATATTTTATCTCAGTATAGATGTTTCAAAGTTATGTGACATTTAGAAAAAAATTGTAAGTAGCTATAAATATTTTGTAACATTACATGTTCATATTATTCCTATATATTTATTTTTTTGCTTTTTCGATATTTTTCCAGTTGTTAGTTTATGTAATAAACGCACATATTGAATTGTTTAATAAAAACGTGCTTATTGTTGTCAGTATTATACTCATTTATTTCACCCGTCCTTAGTTCTCAGCAATTTTTAGATACCTATTGAATATATACTTTGAAAATCATCTTCATGTGATTTTTGTGACGGTAACTTAACAATATTTCTAACGCCGAGTCTACAGAGGAGATGTATGTCGAGCTCACGACTGCCACTGACTTTCCTGTAATTCTCAACTCTTCAACTCCTGATCCAATAACGGAAGCTAAAAAAAAGGTTTGGTGTTGCAGCCAGCAAAAAAACGAGTCGTCTCCTCAAGAGCGGGGTACCTTATGAGAACCGCCTTGCACCATATTCTTGAGCAGCGTACGCAGAATCTGTCTCAGGTGGAGGAACAAACCCCCAAGAGCAAGTTAGCAAACGTTTGCGCTCGAATGATGATTCACCAAAACCAGAGGCGAAAAAGTCCTGCACAGTTGAATCTAAGGCATCGTCAGGAGGAGCTGACGTGCAAAAACCTTCATATGTGAAGGTTATCGCGGGTATCAAGGTGGGAATCTTGCACTTTGACTATCCGACTAGCTCATTAACGATGAAACAGCAGAGCATATACTTTGTGCCTGCTGCGCTGGGGACCGAATCAGGTTTTTGGAGTTTGGCAGAGCCGTCCTCTTACCATCTGACCTGAAAGACCACTCACCATACAAACTAATCGGCTTCGTTAGGAAGCTGGGTTTATTTGGTCGAGTGTGAATAGGTAGGTGTGAGCCACAATAAACCCTTGTGGGTTGCGGGGGAGGGTCGAATAGACCCACTCACTTTGGACCTAACCTAACGTAACCGAGATACACGGAGAAGAAAATATTTTATAATGGAAAAAAGAAAATTGTCACATGTTACCAATGCTTAAATGTTCACAATGGCATATTAATAGTAATGATTTTTTTTTATATTCAGTAAACGACGGAAGTTTATAAAAATCTAGATATAAATGATTGAAGTATAGAAGGCTTAGAGCCTTTATACCCACTAATCAACATCAAAATCAAAAAAACGCCACACGGAAACAAATTCTAATAAAAGAGATCCGAACTGAATTGAATGAGAGAGGAGAATCAACTGTCAAAAATATATAAAGGAATAAAATAGAGATGACATGGAACAGTGACAAGAGATCTGCGAACACAGAACACAACAGAAGAAGGACTACCACATTACCACATACATATCAACTCGTGTTCTAAACAAACAGATTCCATACCATCTATACATGCCATATTGTTACAATAATTCGCATCAATAAGGTTGTTTGACACCTAATAAAGTGGAAGATTTCATTTGTTGGGCGTAATAAGTTGAGTAACCATCCAAAAATTATTGCCAAATTTTTACATATGGGAAATCCAGAAACATACTGGACACTGCTTCAGACGATCATCTGCAACCATCCTAGTTGATGAAAGGAATAATCTACTAACTTAACCTAACCTAACTTAACCTAACCTAACCTAACATAACTTAATGATATTAAAGCGCCATGGTGGCTGGAAAAGTCAGACCGTTGCCAAAAGTTATGTAGATAATTCTATTTCAAATTCTCAACGAAACGGAATAAGACCGTCCTCCTCCCACATCGACGACGGAAAATCATTAAATAATTGTAATAATGTAACGATAAATGTACATGATTATAACAAAAATGAACCGTAATAGAGTAATTTGTAGGAAATATTGCCATAATCTCAAACAAATATATTGTAACATTTCTTTCTACGGTCAGTCGTAGAAAAAGTATAGTACGCACGTCGAGGATAAGGCCAATTACGTCCAATCGCAAATTATCGCACTCGGCTAACGCATCGTGCTTACAATTTTTGCTCGAGGGTAATAAGCTTCTTATCCTACTTAGTACGTAATATACTATTACTCAGAATAATACGAATATATGTATATCAATCTAATGTTCATACTAGTCTGATAACGTCCGACTTCAGTTCAATATCCCGGACTATTTATATATTCTGTTTATATTCCCTTCTACTACTTTTTCAAGTGATTCGGAAATAAATAATATTTTGTCGTCAGAACATATTTTGCAAAGTGTGTTTCAATTTGTTGATTTATTTGTTCAGAAAATTAATTGAGTAATTAAATTTTCTCATATTTAGTGTTCCAGCTTTTCGAATCATTGATCATTCAAGAAAGTACCTACTTATTGATCGATTGACTTCAGCACATTGATTTCCATTTTTGCGGGTTGAAAATACAGTTTTCTGTTTCATGGTGCGGTTTAATGTGATTAACTAATTGGATAATGAAAACCCGTAAGTTGTGATGTGCACATTTCATATATTCCTAAAATGTATGGTTCGGTTTTGTTGATAATGCTGGCGCGCCCTCCCGAATGTACCGAGGCTGCGGGGGATAGGGCCTGACCAGCGCACACTACAGTGGAAAAAAATAAAAAAAAGTAATAATCACGCAGTCGAGTGAGGGATATGGGGGTTGCTGATACAAGGTGCAGGGCCAGCCACGAGGCTCCCGAGACCCTAATGCACTTGCTATCAGCATGTCCAGCATAAGCGGTCTCGGCTTGCCGCACTAAGGCAGAAATCTTAGCCGGACAGATGCAGAAGGCTGTCATTCTTAACTCACTGCGTTTGCTCGACGCACATAATTCTCGGACCAAATGATCACTTACCCCATGGCGTGGGGAGTGGTTGTTGGTTGATGGTGCTGGCGCGCCCTCCCGAATGTATCGGGGCTTCGGGGGATAGGGCCTGACCAGCGCATACTACGGTAAAACAAAATAATAATAATAACGTTTATTGGAAGACTCATAGATACATAAATACATTTTCTTACATTAATACAGTACTTTCGAATAAACAGAGATACCTACTCGCAAAAGTCGTACATGTGGGCGGGTTTCAACGGCTATTCCAAAAGCAACAGTTGTATCCAACGCATTAATGATTATATCATGATTATTCAACCATCATTTTTCTTCTCGTTCTGTTCGTCCTGTCCCTGGTATCAATGATCGCTGAAGAGTTACCGTGGTTTCTGTCATATGTCTTATGTCGGGCGACCATAACTGTATTCCCCACCAATGGCGATAAGAGTATCGTTTTTGATTTTAGCTGAATCGTATATATTTCTTGCTACCTTGAGATGTTTGTATATGAATTTTCTTCTTTCGTAAATTTTTCTTGGATAGTCAGGGGAAATGAATAATTTTTTTTTGAGTTCGGCTGGGTTCGCTTTCTTACTGGATGAGATTTTCGATTCCCCATTATCTATGCGATAAAAAATGAGGTTATATTTTTTCGAATTTTTTTCTAGAAACTTAATTTTTTCCTTCAGTTACTGATTTTCTTTAACTAGTTCGTCATTTTTATTCTTGATTTCTTCAAGTTCTGCACGCGAATGGTTTCTGAGTCCGGCTAATTCGTTTTTCAGATCTGTATTTCTTCCTTGATTGTTTCACGTAACTATTCCATAGACACAGGCATATGAAAGTAGCTTTCGAAATCCATTACAACAATAGAGCTTCGATTTCGAATGCATGTGCAGTGAAATGAAAAAAATTATATCATTGCCGGGCGGTTTCTGAAGATTTGAGGCTTCCAGTAAGGCTACTGCTTTATCTGTGAAAGAGAGCCTTTCATGGCCTCGTCAATCGATAAATGATAACTGAGTCTTAATAAAATTCCCTTCAGATCATTATCTAAAGTACCTAGTAGTTCACCTAGTAGTTCAAATATATTGTATGAAGGCTCCCTGGAAAATTATTGGTTGCAAAGTTAATAATAATAATGCTAATTCATTTCAATTAATAATGTTATACAGAGTGATACAAGTGGTGATGAAAAAATGTGTTTGAAGGTGATTGACAATGTTTCATGATGAATTTCACTAGTTCGGACTTCCATTGTCTAATATATAAAATGATTTGAAATCTCTGAAACAACTAAAAAAGAAGAATTAAAAATAAATANTATTAGACAATGAAAGTCCGAACTGGTGAAATTTATGACAAAATTTATTGTGAAAGACGTCAATGGGCGTGTTATGGTTATGTAAACGTTTAGCCATATTGCTAGATCTTAGTTTGAAAACATACACACAGGCTTCTAGAATATAGGTCCCTGTCAGTGTTAAAATGTTTAATTTTTTTTTTAATCTCTGCACGAGTCTTTAGAGCCTAGTTTTGCCAATATTCGTATGGCAAATTTCTATTGAGTAAACACTCTGTTTACAAAGGAGCAATTTCCCCCGTTCGAAATGCCATATTTCAGATGAGAGTGGAAATTAACATGACATAGGATTAGCAGCATCTCTTCACTGCAATGATTTGCCATAAACCTTAAAGAGTAGCACGACTTTTTCAGTTTTGTGCATAGTTTGTCAGTATGTGGGGTCCAGATTAAGTTTTCGTCAAAAGTTTTACTCGGCATTTTAACTAATGTTGACATTTCTATTACGTTGTTGGTATGTTGCAGTTTAGATTGTGCTCACGTAGAGTGAATAACATAGCATAAAAGTCTTTGATGTATTTAAATTAAGATTATTATTTTTCGACCACTTCAGCACATTTTCCATAATATTTTCGGCTACGATTTTCAATGCATTTAGATCGTTCTGAGCTACCAATACATTAGTATCGACAGCATAACATACTGTTGCTAGTCTTACTGAGATAACTTATGAGGTCATTTGCATAAACTACATAGAGAAATAGTCCCAGGATCGAGCCTTGTGGAACCCCTTGAGGTATGTGTAAGGTATCCGAGTGGGACTAATTAGGTTTTTCCAAAAAAAATTCACAAGAATCACCTTGTGTATTTTAAAAGATGTTCGATGATTTTTCTTATATTACAGGTATTTTCCGCAAATCTATTTCAACCCTTCTGATAAAAAATGGAGGATATCTTCGTCAACAAAACATATTCTCAGCAAGCAAGTTCATGATGATTAAAGAAAACAAATGCTTGTGTACTACTGTCCAGAAACATAAGACCGTCAAACACAGTGGTAAACAATTTTTTATTGTCGAAATCATTTGCGAATTATATCTTAGGCTAAAGACGTCAATAAATGCTAGCAAACAATAATCATATCACATGTTATATAGAGTTTCCTAATACTTTCTCATAAATAACATCATTGTAATCTTTGACCTTTCCAAGAAAATATCTCATTACATCATTGAAAAGAGTTATCAACGGTCGTCTAGAGTCTGATAACTTTTTGCTCTTTCAACACTCTGAACAAAGCTTCAGTTATTTTAGGTTCAATCTTCAAAATGTCGCGATCAAGTGCGTCAGTAAAAATCCTATCCGGAACCCAAGTGGCAAAGTGAGAATTTGTATAATTGATGACACTGGATCATCATTAATGAATTATTTGATGTTCTAGAGAAATCACCGAACAACTGAAATCCTCAGTTGCTGCAATCAAACAAAAACTTCCAAAATTTCAACCAGGATTGGCGATTGTTCAGGTGGGAGAAAGAGAAGATTCAAATGTTTATAATACGATATAAACAGTGTTAGGACATTGGAAATGTATTCAAACTTGTATCCCGAAAGACGACAACCACATCGAACTATGTTCAAGTTATTGAATAAAAATCTCACCGAGTTTGGTTCGTTTGAAAAGCCAATGAAATCAGAATCAACAATCAAAATTTGATAAATGAGGTGTTTAAATTAGACATTGTGTCCTTTTCAATGAAAATTGAACTTTAAACAAATAACAATAATTAACTAAAATGTAAAAACAAAAGTAAATCACAGCAAATGCTTAAAATGCTGGCCTTGTTCATGATAACACAACTGTGTCCTTCTTCGAATATTATTCACTGCACGATTAATTTTCCTTCTTCTCAATCTTCCGAACTCTCAAACAATGCTGTGTTGAAGGTCTTCAACATTTTGATATTCCTCTGACCATAAACTCTGTTTTTCAGTGTATCCCATAAGAATGTACCCATAACACCTAAGTCTGGCGACCTTGCTGGCCACCTCACCGGCCCATTATTTCCTACCTATTTATCACCAAAACTTTTAGTCGGGTAATCAGATACTCGTCTGGTAGTGTGCGGTGGATCACCATCATGTTGAAACCAGATGTTGTTATAGTTAGCCAAAAGTAGATCATCCAAAGAGTATTCGAAAATCGAAAATCTTTTCTCGAAAAATTGGAGATATTGAAACAAATGAATTCTTATCATAGTAGGCTTTGACTTTGATGACTTTGATGACTTTGATGTTTCTAAATTTGACTTTCAGTTTGTTACACTCAATGCTGAGGATCGAATCTGAAACACCCTGTATTTGAATAAACGTTAATATGATTTCCTTTATATTTTGAAATTTGAAATTGAGCACCAAAAAAGTTGAAATTTCTGTAAGCTGACGAAACATGCTCATCTTTCAGCGTCATAATACATATCTCCATCAATTTCGGAGTTACGGATGCTAAGATAATATCGTGTATAGTACGTGTATAGTAAAAAATAAACAAAATGGTCCGGTAAAAAGTAGTAGAGATCATTGAAAGGTATGTTTCAAAAATTATTACTAATATACAGGGTGTCCAATAAATGTGCAACCGACCAAACTGACACATCTGAATAACCATTTTTGATAGCATTCACATTATTGGTAACCAATTTTCAGTTCGAAACATTCACAACAAACTTCTATATGATCTATGTTCTTTTATAAGAATCATATAATCAGTACCCATTTATAGTCATCCCGAAAATATGTTTGGAAAAAACACCTGGTATACAGATGGATCGAATACCAAAAATGGAACGGGAGCTGAAATATACCGAGCGGATAGAAATTCAAAGTACAGCTATCCTCTAGGACTATACACATCCGTCTTTCAGGCGGAAGTGTGTGCTATCTTGCAGTGTGCAAGGCTTATTAAATTGAGACCTCAAAGAAATGAGCGAATCAATATTTTTACAGACTGATCGGGCGATAATTATGTGGGAACAGCGGGTCTGACCCTGTTTTGGGATCATGACGACGATCGCATGCTTCCACCTTCTGGGGAAGTGTCTGAGGGCCAACGAACTGTTTATTATATTCAGCAGGCATTCGACGCAATTGTCTGGGAGCCTCTTCAATAACTTGTTAGTTATTGAGTCGACCCCTGGAGCTTTCTTGACCTTTGCGGCCCTGATGTATCCCTTCAGCTCTTCTATAGAAGCTGGACGGATGTCATCATCGTCATCCTCCCTGAGGATTCGGTGAACTTGGTCTTCCAACAGTATATCGCGGTCGATGTCGTCATCGTCGTCAACGTTAAGCTGAAACTGACGTTCCATCGTGTCAGCAAAGGCTAACGCTTTGTCGGCGGGGGAGTAGCACATTCCGCGCTCTCCGTCAAAACTGGTCTGGGAATGTCATGAAGAACTGAATGAACTTGCAAACAGGAACAAATTCACTTTGTACTGGGTGCCAGGGCATTCAGGAATCACAGGTAATGATAAAGCTGATGAATGCGCTAGATCATCAACTTCATATATAGGTCCTGCACCATCTCTGGGGGTACCAAAATCATTGGTACGAAACCAGATTAGGACATGCACACAGAGTACTGGACAAAAGTACCTGACAACAAACACAGTAGAACCTTCATTAGGGAACTGTCCGAGAAAAGAACCGAAGAACTACTTCAATGTAGTAGGGATCGGTTCAGAATAATTACAGGGTTACTATCCGGTCATTGTCCGGTTAGAAGACACCTGAATAAAATGGGACTGTACAACGGAGACCTCAGCTGCAGATCATGTAACGAAGGAATAGAAACAGCTCTACACATCTTATGCGAATGTGAGGCACTGAATCACAGGAGCCAGGCAATATATGGACGTACAAAATTACGTCCAGAAGATGGGAGAATAAACGCAATAAGCCTAAGAGGCTGCGCTGTTTTCTGGAGACTTGGACTAAATGGACAAGTCAGACAGCTCCCAAGGTACCAAAAAACCCATTCATAGTTTGAAGAATTGAGCACACACATATACATTATCTACTTGCTTTCACGTAATTCACATTATTGGTATCAAGTACATAGATTTTTGTGAAATGTATTTATGAATTCGAGTTGAACCTTCAATCAAGTCTATGTTTTTCAACTTCAATATTCTCTACATTATTCAACTTCTACGTTTTTCAAATAATGCGTCCTTTTCGGTCAGTCGGTAGCCAAGCGGTTCGGCGTGGGTGCTTTGTTCACTCACTCGAATTGTTGGTCGGTGGTTCAAGCCCTAGTCTGAACGATCGATCTTCACTTGCTACCGTCCAACCCGTGTTAGGAATCACACGTTAAAAGGTAAGACCTCGTTAATCCTTAGCTCGCACAAGTTTCGACTTCTGAGGGTTGTCGTTCGTAGGGGTTTTTCTTTAGAAATATTGGAGGAATCATATGCAGCGAGTGTTGATTTACTGTCGACAACAACTCAAGAGCGATATCAAAAAGAATATGAAAATTGTGAAACGGCCGCCGGCCGTTTAAAAATCTTAACGAACGGAGGCTGTTAACATTAACTCTTCAATTGTCATTTGAATACCGTTAAATCAAAATAATAGTATGGGGTTACGAAAAGTCTAAATAAGTACCAGCTTCTCAGAATGAATAGAAGAAATCGAAATATTCGAAAAGTTCAAACATCGTTGTGTCCTGAATTTCTGACACTCCGAAATTAATATCAACAGGTACTGATTTCATTATTATACAGTGTGTAAAAGCCAAATGGAATAAATCCAGTATTTCGGTTATGGTACGTACATATTTTAACAAAATCCCGAAACACGTCAAATTTGAATTATAATTTGACATACTTCAACGGAAAAATGCTACCCCAACCTTCAACCCCTGTCGAATGACAGGTATAACCCCCAATTTTGCAAATGGTAAGTATAGACTTGTGATGTATCGTTTGAAAAGTTTCTTCAGTCTCTATTCAAGTTTATTGAAACAATTATGATAAAATAAATTAAAATCATGTGGTGACCGAAATTCAATCAAAACTTATTGCAATTTTCTCAAAACTTACTTCATGTGGAGGTATTGATGATAAGAAAGTAAACAAAAACCATAGCAATGTTTGAATTGATGGGGTTATAATTTTAGGAGTGATTAATTTTTGGGAAAGAAAGTTTTTGGTTTTCTACTACTGTATTTTGATACAAAAAAATGTGGGAATCTTCCAAAGAAAGGAAATAATCAATTTGAAAATTGGATGGATGTGTAGATCATCGATCGAAAGAATTTTTTTTCTTTCTTGTAATTCAATGTTTATTTGAAAGTAGCTGTTTCAGGAGGGCTTTCTTCCAGTTTGTGTCATGCTTCTTTGCATGATCTACACATCCATGTATAGAGCTACTTATTTTCAAATTGATTACTTCCTTTCTTTGGAAGATTCCCACATTTTTTTGTATCAAGATGGACTAGCCAAAAACTTTCTTTCCCAAAAAAACATAGCAATGTTCTTTTTAGATGATATCCTTTAAAAAACTGTAAATAATTTTAGTGGCAACGTTAGTTCAAAATGCCTTGTCAACTTTTTTTGTATAATACAACATTAGTTGTCAGTATTTTAATTTAAGTGTAAAGTTTGTTAGTTCGAGTTTGACAAATGGTAGTTTTACAAATGATTGGTTACGGAGATAAAACCCTAACACAACAGTAATTTACCGCCTATATCTCAAGGAACAATGAGTAAAATAGAGAAGCAGTTTCGCGAGCTTGCTCATGTGGGGTAGATAAAAAAAGCAGCTGCCTATGCAATGAATGATGAACTCAAATTAGATGTGATGTTTGAGTTTGAGGAAAACCCACATACATCGAGTAGACAGGCATCCGCTACATTCGAAGTTAGCCTTACACCGATAGTAAACATATTAAAAGAAAATAAAATGCATCCCTATAAAATGATACCTACTCAGGAGCGCATGGAAGACGATTTTGATAAATGAACTAATTTTTTTGAGCAAATGATGTACATTTTGGATAACAATATCATCCAATGAGAAAACGTTATGTTTTCTGATAAGTGTACTTAGTCTGTTTGTTGCAATAAATAAACTTGAAAGCGATAACATTTTTGAATAGAGAATGGAGAGACCTTTCATACCATATATCACAAACCTATACTTCCCATTTAAAAAATTGGGGGTTGTACCTGTCATGTTGGAGAATGTCAAATAATAATTTTCATTTGACGTGTTTCGGGATTGTTTAAAATGTGTGCAGTAACCGAAATAATGAATTTATTCCATTTGGGTTTTACACACTGTATGTTATACCATTCTGACCAAATGGTTAAGGTTTTGGCTGCCGAGGTTTTCAGTGTCAGTATTTTCCGGGTTTGAAGGCCGTAGTTTTTTGGAATTTATCTCTGACGTTTTGCTGGCATGAGTGGCTAACTTCCTCAGAGGTTTGTATATCCTGAGTTGATATTTCCGACAACTGAATATTACGGCTGCCTAAGGCGTATTTATGTTGATTCCTCAGGTATTTTGGTCTGCTGATACTTGTACCTGGTATAGGTAAAGTTTATGTTGATTCAGGTAGTCTGGTATGATGATACCTGTATCTGAATTTGGTAAATTGTCAATAACGTTCGTGGATCCTGTTATACCTACTGTCATGCTGTTTGTTATTCTTGGACTTCTTAGAATGAGATCCAATATTCCACTGAGGTTCTCAGCTTCTTCTTTACTGTTGAGATTATCCGTGTGTTTGTGAATCTCTATTGCCTCTCGTACCAGTCGGATATGGTATCCCTGGTCGGAGGCAATAAGTTCCGTATTTTCGAACAGAATATTGTGGTTTCCTTCACGGCGAGTTCTGCAACAGCTGACTTGTCCATTTGGCTTAGTCTGCAGTTTCATTCTAGTGGAGCCCCTATTGGCGTATAATCTACATAAGCTATAGCTTAGGGCTCATACTTTTTTTTTGTGATCCCCGACTTTATGCAGGCCTCAGGCCTATATCGGTAACATCTCCAAAGATCTCAGATCCTGAGTCAAGTCCAAATCCGTTACTAAACATGGGACTTCGTTAGCGAAACTTATGGTTTGTAAGATCATATTTTTGTGGCCCTTCATGCTTTTCAAAGACCATTTTAAATGTAGCCATCAATGGTTAAGTCTCGAATATCTCTGATGTTAAACACCATACGTCAATCTCAAATGGAATGACTCACGAATAGTATTTTTCAGCTCCTGAATAAAATAGAAGAACTGAACATCAGTCCTCATATCCATGGAATCATAGTGCAGATGCCATTAGATGCTGATACTGAAATCAACTCTCATCTGATCACAGACGCTGTTGCAACCGAAAAGGATGTTGATGGGTGAGTTTTTCTCAATTTTCAATTCAGTGTCTCCCAAAATTTACTGATCCGTTACCTCCCAACTGACAGAGCATTTGTAGGAGGTTTTATTAAGCGCGTCCTATCTTTAAATTTTATTAAAACATAGTGCGACTCGACAATTTTATTTTTCTACGGATGCTATACAATGTGCCACTTCTCTCATCGCTTTCATATGTTTAAAACAAAACATTTCTCACGAAGTGAGAAATATCCGCTATTACAATGAGAAATAATTTCTCACTGTTATCACGATAACACGATAAGGTATGAATTGAAATGTTTTTAATTGTTATCAAAAAATGAATGTTTGGTTTTGATTTCAGGTTGCTTTAGCTATTGGCCTTACAGGGGCATGCCGTTGTGAAGAACTTCCAAAAATTAAAAATTGATGACAAGGAAGATCTCAATTCGGCCCTGAACCTGAACACAACAATGCTGTGGAAGCTCCGTACGTTTCNATTGTTCCAATATAACTGTTAATTACTATTTTATATAAAATATAAAAATTACTCAATGACATACAAGTATTATAATATGTGTATTTCAATTTTCAATACTTGAAAACAACGCAACCGTAGAAAAAGTACAGTGTACAATGCGTGAGAAAATGACATGTTTCTCACTCGCTTGATTTGCTTGACTTGACAAACTTCTGCGCTCGTGAAAATTTGTCGTTTTTCTCACTTGTTATACAATATAGTATTGTTCATGTATCCATTCATCCAAAAATGGGCCTCATCGCTGAAGATGATTTTTCATTGGAAATTAGAGTCAGTTGCCAACCGCTCTAAAGCTCATTCAGCGAACACACGTCGTTGTCTATGGTTATCTACCTTGAGTTTCTGGGTCAGTTGAATTTTGTATGGGTGCAGGCCCAAGTCACGACGCAAAATTCGCCAAGTTGTGGTCTGCGAAAGGCCGAGCTTTTGTGAGCTACGCGAAATCGACGACCTCGGATTCACCTGCACACTCTCACAGACAGAGGCGATTTTTTCGGCAGATCTTGCGTTTCGTCGACGTACGGGTACTGGTCGATCGTTTACTGAACCAGTAGACTCGAATTTATCTACCACATTGCAAATAGTCCGCTCAGTAGGACGATTATGGCGACCGTAAAATAGGGGAAGCACGCGGTACGTTGCCCGAAAAGAACAGCCATTTTGATGAAACAATTTTGTTGTTTGCCATTGTATTGAATGCTATATCCGTCCATGGTGATTTGGCTGAAGAGGCTGAATAAATAAATGATAACTCGTTTGACAGATGTATTTCTCTTCGATACAGTCTTCAGACCTAATTTGATTTCTATAGGATTAGTACACTTTTTCAATAATATTTCAGAAACATTCAAATAGGAATATTTTTTGAAGTTTGGAATGAATTTATGGCGTAACTAATCTGAAATCTGTTTATCATCTTGAGTAAACAGCTACTTCCATATAAACATTGAATCACACGAAAGAAAAGAGAGAAAAAATCCCTCTTAAAAATATACCCCTTTCAATTTATACTATTAGGTTGTTTAAAAAAATTTGCCCATTTTTGCTCCATATCTCAGAAGATATTTATTCTACTCTGTCGATGGAAACTTTTGCACTCTATCTGTATCTGTATCCCCACAGCACTTACGCCACATGTGACCCATTGTACATCCTCCCGAGGAGTTGTCCTCCTAGGTCATCGTCCATTCTGTCTTTTCCAGGAAGGTGGACAGGTCGCTTGGAGACATCTCCTTTATATTGACAGATGTGGGCCAAGACTCGCCGAACACATACTCTCTTTGGCAACCTTGAGATGTCTCACGGTGGCCTACGCGAAGGTTTTGGAAGGTGCAGCGACATTACTGTCATTGCGCGGCTTCTTCAACCTTCCTGGGGTTCCCCTAGTGGAGGTGCTCAAGTGAGGGAGCTTTCCTGCAGGAGCAACCGGTTCCTTGCCTTTATTCAAGGCGGAGCTCTTGGCTCCCGCCGCAGAAAGTGCATTTGCTGTTGGAGTTGGAGTGGGGGAGGAATAAACACTTATAGTTGCTGCCACTCCTGCCTCTTTGGCTCTTTCTCTCCTTTTAGCCTCGGCGCCGCAAATGCGCTTACGCCTTGGCTTTTGTATTACATCAGGAGGTGATCCGCTATGTCCAGCCTCATTCCAAGCAGTAGATTGGCGTTGACATTTCTGTTCATCCCCAACCACGGCCTTAGATTGAGGTGAGCTCTTCTGTCCAGCCTCGGGATTGGTTTTTGTTTGTGTTGTTTCTTTCATGTGTGTTCCCACGAGTAGCAAGGGAAGAGTTGGTCACCTCTGCCAGAGGAAGGCTGATTACAATGAGGTTTCGCCCAGTTCTCCAAGGGGATCATTCGTGACCGCACGTCACCCTGCAGCCATTTAGCTGTCGGTACGATTCCTTACAACTTAGCTTGGCTAGGCTGGTCCACGGTGGCATGTTTTACAAATGCTTTTGGGGAGTTTTAGTCCCCCTCGCCCTCCTTATTTCTGCCACTGATCAGCAGTCCGGCGACCCCGTCCGTAAGGCTACATTGGCTTCCCGGACAGAGCCTCCAGTCCCCTGGACTATCCGCCACCTGGGCACACGCCCGATAGGTAGCCCAACACACGGGTTTTGCACTCTATACATACATGCTCTTCATTTTTTTGCCAGGCATTTGGCAATATAGTGTTTATGATGCACTGTTTAGAAGAGAAGAGGAGAGTTTTAATCTTCCTCTTTGAAGATGATCACTTGGTGATCGAAACACCTGTCGAGGTGTTAAAAATAACGATTTGGTGTTGAGAAAAAAACTCCAGTAATATTCAATATTAGCGTTGATGAACGCACTGTTTGACGTTGGTTTGCACAATTTCGTTTTTAAAATTTTAGCATCAACGATGAGCTTCGAAGTGGTCAACCTACATTAATCCAGGACGAGGATATCAGGACACTGATGGAGACTGACCCATCACAAACTGTGCGTGAGATCGCGGAGGAACTGAGCGTCAGCTCCCATGCGGTTTTTGATGGTTTTTAACGTATTGGAAAGGTCATAAAGCTCGAAAAGTAGGTGCCCCTCGATTTGAACGATGGACAGATATTGTCATGTTTCAAGGTCTGTTCTGTTTTGCTTTTGCGCAACGAAAGGTATCGCCACGTGTGCCACTTCTAATCCAGTCATTTTAGGAGGTTTGCCTAGGAAAGTGGACATACCTAGCTGTAAATTTGTATAAACGTTGTATTTTGGCATCATAAAAGTAATCTAAAAATTCACATATGATTCGACGGCCGCAACTTCAAAAAATGGGGGTAAAAAGTCACTTTTTGTACTTTTGTTGCCAATATCTCGTTTCCAGTGGGTTTTATGCTAATTATATTCATTATCAATATTGTAGAAAATTAAATTCTCTACAACTTTTTGGTTATGTAAACGTTTAGCCATATTGCTAGATCTTAGTTTGAAAACATACACACACAGGCTTCTAGAATATAGGTCCCTGTCAGTGTTAAAATGCTTAATTTTTAAAAAAATCTCTGCACGAGTCGTTAGAGCCTAGTTTTGCCAATATTCGTATGGCAAATTTCTGTTGAAAACTCTGTTTACAGAAGAGCAATTTCCCCCGTTCGAAATGCCACATTTCAGATGAGAGTGGAAATTAGCATGACATAGGATTAGCAGCATCTCTTCACTACAATGATTTGCCATAAACCTTAAAGAGTAGCACGACTTTCTCAGTTTTGTGCATAGGTTGTCAATATGTGGGGTCCAGATTAAGTTTTCGTCAAAAGTTTTACTCGGCATTTTAACTAATGTTGACATTTCTATTACGTTGTTGGTAGAGTGAATAACATAGCATAAGTCTTTGATGTATTTAAATTAATATTATCATTTTTTGACCACTTCAGTACATTTTCCAGAATATTTTCGGCTACGATTTTCAATGCATTCAGATCGTTCTGAGCTACCAATACATTAGTATCGTTGGCATAACATACCGTATGTATATTAGAGTTGCTAGTCATACTGAGATAACTTATAAAGTCATTTTCGTAAACTACATAGAGGAATAGTCCCAGGATCGAGCCTTGTGGAACCCCTTGAGGTATGTGTAAGGTATCCGACTGGGACTGATTAGGATTTTCCAAAACGAATCACAAGAATCACCTTGTGTATTGTAAAAGGTGTTCGATAACTTTTCTTATGTTACAGGTATTTTCCGCAAATCTATTTCAACCCTACTGATAAAAAATGGAGGATATCTTCGTCAACAAAACATATTTTTAGCAAGCAAATTCATGATGATTGAAGAAAACAAATGCTTGTGTACTACTGTCCAGAAACATAAGACCGTCAAACACAGTGGTAAACAATTTTTTATTGTAGAAATCATTTGCAAATTATATCTTAGGCTAAAGACGTCAATAAATGCTAGCAAACAATAATCATATCACATGTTATATAGAGTTTCCTAATACTTTCTTATAAATAACATCATTGTAATCTTTGACCTTTCCAAGAAAATATCTCATTACATCATTGAAAAGAGTTATCAACGGTCGTCTAGAGTCTGATAACTTTTTGCTCTTTCAACACTCTGAACAAAGCTTCAGTTATTTTAGGTTCAATCTTCAAAATGTCGCGATCAAGTGCGTCAGTAAAAATCCTATCCGGAACCCAAGTGGCAAAGTGAGAATTTGTATAATTGATGACACTGGATCATCATTAATGAATTATTTGATGTTCTAGAGAAATCACCGAACAACTGAAATCCTCAGTTGCTGCAATCAAACAAAAACTTCCAAAATTTCAACCAGGATTGGCGATTGTTCAGGTGGGAGAAAGAGAAGATTCAAATGTTTACATTCGGATGAAAATACAAGCCGCCCTCAATATCGGCATAAAAACAGAGCATGTAAAACTGCCCAGATCTACAACAGAAAGAGAGGTAACATTTATACTTTTTGGGTATTACATTTTTCAATTTCTTTATAGAGGACGACACAAAATGTCAAAAATATGCATTTGAAATGATTTTCATTGAAGTTTCCATATTATCAATACCAGCCTCTTCAGGAAAATCGGGAAAGTTGGAATAAAAAATGTTTTGAGTCAGAGATGAATAAACTAGAAAAAATATAAAAGTAGTGAATATACAGGGTGTTCCAAATTCGATCTTCACCATTGGGATCTCGGAAACTAAGAGAGATACAAAGATGGTTAAATTGGGGCAAAATTACGCATTCAGCTGACTAACAATATGCCTTTGAGAAAATTCTGAAATTCCGAGTATATCCNGTTTTCCAATAATTGAAAATCGATTCCGGCACTCACTTCAGTGAAGAATCATGCACTGACACTTGTTGGATATAATCCAACGCCCTTCGTGGTATTATCCAGGGGAGTAGTTGTTTTCTGATAACTGTCAGTTCTCATTAACTATCACATTATATGTAATTTTTTTATTATGTTCATTCGATAGCACTTATAACCGATCCCTAATATTAAATAATTATTGAGGGATAAACTTCTTAATTACATTCTCCAAAAAAGAAAACAACGTTTTTAAAAGCCTTCGAGAAACTGCTGACTTTGGATCAACTTGCAGCAGCATTTGGGAATGGAATTCAAATCTTATTAGCAATCTGTAATGCTTCAAAATCCGGGAACAGTATCTGTATCTGAAGAGAAGGGAGGTTGAGTGTAGACACACAAGAATAAGGCCACATGTGGCCCGTTGTACATCCTCCCGAGAAGTTATCCTCCTAGGTCATCGTCCATTATGACATCTCCTTCATATCGGCAGGTGAAGGCCAAGGCTCGCCGAACACACCCTCTCTTTGGCAACCTTGAGGTGTCTCACGACAGCCTTCGTGAGCATTTTTGTCCAGCTTCGGGATTGTTTTTGTTTTTTTTGTGTCTCTTTTTGTATTTGTTTCATTCATGTGTGTTCCCACGAGTAGCAGGGGAAGAGTTGGTCACTCTGGCAGAGTCCCGCATTACTTTAAACAAAAGTTGTAGAGAACTTAATTTTTTACAATATTGATAATGAATACAATTAGCATAAAACCCAATGGAAACGAGATATTGGCAAAAAACTTGCAAAAAGTCGGTTTTTTGACTTTTGACCCCCAATTTTTTGAAGTTGCGGCCTTCGCCAAAATACAAAGTTTATACAAATTTACAGCTGGGTATGTCAACTTTCCGAAATACATGCCTAAATCGACCTAAAATGACTGGACAATTCCATAATTTTCTCACCGATAGAACTTTCGTCAATCAGGACCAGGCAAAAACAGCCTTCGTCGACACCATTGAATTCTGAGCACCCAATTTTTATGGTTACTGGATTGATCGACTTGTTTTACGTTGGCAAAAATGCACTGATTCAAATGGCGCTCATTTCTATTGAATTGAATTTGTATTCACTCAGATATTAGAGTAAAAACGGACAAAACTTTTGTAACAACTTGATAGTTTCAGTTTGAATTTTGGAAATGGCATCCAGATCACTGTTTTCCAAATAATTGATTAATCTTTTATGTATCACTTTCTATAAGAGTTTCTATAAAATTGAAAATTTCGAAAATGATCTAAAGTTGTGGGAATATTTTTTGTCATTTTCATAGATAGGAATAAATTTAGCGACTTTCACATTGCCGGGTAACATCTCGATTTAAGTTTGATTTGGGGACGTGAATATTCTTCAGATCGTCTTGAAATATTTGGAATAACTCGGAATGAATGAAACAATATATTCCTTGCACCCCCAATGGTGTTATAGAATTAATCAAAAGATCTGGAGTGAGCCTTATTGGTGCTCAAGCTGTGGTATTGGGTCGGAGTAAAATTGTAGGAACACCAACAGCAGAATTACTCAAATGGAACCATGCAACTGTAACGGTCTGCCATTCTAAAACAAAAGATCTGAAGGAACAGGTTAGTTCAAGGATTATATATTTTTTTAACTTTGAAAAAACTTCAATAGATGTATTGAATACGTATCAATTGACTGAATTCCGAATTTATTTTATTAAAAAAAATCACCTCAATGGTGCCACTCTGTTCCCTCCTGTTCATAAAAGAGGACATGTGCCTTCCCACTCACAAGTCATTTTGGTGAAATTGAGTACACGTGTGAATCGTTGTATTTGTACCACGTGTCACTGTATGTGTGTCTGCAATATGCTGTCTAATGCCCGTTGTATTTTCACTGTGATTTGAAAGAGCATATAGATTATAACGACAAGGAGCCACATTATCTCCTGCATAATTTCTCATATCTGATCATTTTAAAGAAAATTCAATGGCAACATTAGTTTGCCTCTAAATCTTTCTGTTGCAGATAATCTTGCATTTTCTTCTTTCCTTGCACCTCGAACAGGTTGATTTTTCATCTCTATTCAGAGTTTTCCCCCTTGTGAATGAACCCAAGCATTGTGACAAACTCAATTGGCCAGTTCTTTATGATATGGGGAGAGACAAATCCCAGAACTGATGAGTGACCACAGTGCGTGCAGTTAATTGTGGATTTTAATTTACCAACGAAGTTGTCTACAATCTTAGAGTTGTACATCTTCAAATATCTCAGCCATGAATCTTGTGCTTTTTTGCTATTTTTCAATTTTTCGTCAGGTCGGTTTAGGTTTCTCATCAATTCTATCAAAGTCATCATGTAAACTTTCTAAGGAACTCCTGGACATCTTGATGGGCATAACCCAGGAATCTTTGAATCTGAATTCTAAAGTAGACTGTGGTTGTTACTCTACCAGATGAATNATTGCAAAAATAAATTTGTGAAATTAATTTTTATATGTATAGCTGAAAACATATATTGTGAAATAATAGATAAGGCAAAATTGTAAAATAATTTAGGTTGGTATACATGTATGGGTGGTACGCCTGGATGGTTTACCTGTATGGGATACCTATATAGCATGAATAGGGTTAGCTCGCATTAGTTTCTAGTTTTAATCTTCCTCTTTGAAGATGATCACTTGGTGATCGTAATATGTGTCGAGGTGTTGAAAAAGATGATTTGGTGTAGGGAAAAAACTCCAGTAATATTCATAAATACTAGTATCGATATTTTCCATGTTTGCATCCTCTTTTAAATATTCCAGCAACTATCTCGTGTTGAAAAACATTGCTAATATTTTTTAACCCATTAAACCTAAGAGTTTCGACTGATCTAATGTAGTACTCGTAACTGTTGATACTACGTTCGCCACTGCTGTCTTCTTCTGAGTAATCACGGATGCGATGATTCACCTCATCATTTGATTGGTGGGATGAGGAAATTCGAAGCTAAACTCCATGAAACTGAATTGGATATGGCAGACCTTTCGAGTTTGAGAAAAGATTATAATTCCAGAACTTGTTCTATTTCCCTGAATCTCCTGGTGGAAACTTATGAGGAATATCATTAAAAATAAAAGAAGTTTCATGAGAAATCAATCTCTCAATATACTGGAGTAGGAATATGATTTGGAAACAGCGGGGTGAATGAAAATTTCATCCAGTGAATGTGACGATGCTGAAAACAGAAGCTGAGTTACCACGCTGTATAGCTAAATGATTAAATTAATAAGATTAAAATATAGATATTAGGAAACAAGTCAAAACTGATTCCTATACTAATATTAGCCAATCACCCGAGCTATGCATGCTAATATCTTCATGTGTTTCGTTCACTTTTTGTGATATTTCTTTTCAGTGCCAAAAAGCTGATATACTTGTTGTAGCTATTGGTAAGCCAGAGCTCGTCAAAGGAGATTGGATAAAACCTGGTGCAGTTGTGATTGACTGTGGAATCAACGCTATTCCAGGTAAGGAACATGCAAGCATTTATATAACTGCACTTTTTTTCCTGAAAACAAGTTTTCGCACCACTCTGATATGTATTTCTTTGAAAATTGTAATGGCTTGAAGTTCTGTATTATTTCGTATGAGTTATCCCAATGAAAACTAGTTTTCCAAATATATTTTCGAAAGTAATACAACATAACTTTAAAATTTCCTCAAAAAATTTCCGTTTTTCAACAAAAACTTTATCTAGCGATAGCAACATGAGAAAATCACGAGTTTGTAGGACGATTGGTTTCATCTATTGTTAGTTGCTCTATTGCTCAAAAATAACAATGTTAGAGTTGAAATATAGGAAATTCATCAGAGAAAATTTCCAGACCGAATGGTACTGAATGCATCGATATTAGAACAAAATTATCAATTCCCAAGTTGAATCAATTTTATTACCTGAATAACGAAAAATTTCAACAAGATTTGTTTGAGAGTTTGATGTTCGAAAGAAAGCTTTTTGGCTTCCACTTCTCCATCTTCATACAAAAATTGTATGAGCCTTTTCTTCCAGCTTCTACCAAGAAGTAGCTACCATATCTGTATCTGTAGAATAGGGAGGGTGAGTGTAAGCCCACGCACTTAGGCCACATGTGACCCATTGTACATCCTCCCGAGGAGTTGTCCTCCTTGGTCATCGTCCATCCTGTCCTTTCCAGGAAGGTGGACAGGTCGCTGGGAGACATCTCCTTTATATTGGCAGGTGTAGGCCAAGACTCGCCGAACACACACTCTCTTATTGACGATAACTCCGGGCACTCGCACAGGACATGCCTGACAGTCTCATCTTCCTGTTCACACATCCTGCATAGAGGTGTGTCCACTAGCCCCATTATATGTAGGTGTTTCCTTACCTGACAGTGGCCAGTCAGAAATCCTACTGTAAGGCGTAGATTTTTCCTGGTCATCGCCAGATATTTCTTCGGCGCCAGCTTCCCAGGGTCGCCCAAGGTTATCCTGTCAAGATTACATCCTTTGATTTCATCCCATCTCTTCAAGGATTGGGCATGGGTGTAACATTTGACTAGTTCCGCAATTGTCGAAGTCATCAAGCCGTGGGTGCCACTGGGTCCTGAAATTCTCAGTCCAGCCGCTTCCTTGGCTAAAGAGTCGGCAATGCGATTACCTTTGCTCCTGTTGTGCCCTTCAATCGACCTTAGGATAATGTTATTATCTACCGAGGCTTTGGCTAAATCTTGGTGGCACTCTAGTGCTAGCCCTGAAGTAACACGGTGTCTGTTCAAGGCTAATAGTGCTTGTCTGCTGTCAGTGCAGATTGTTATGTTTTTGCCAGAAATTCTTTTCAAGTAGCTACCATAAGCCAATTGCTACTTCTAAAGAATTACCGATATTAATAATGCACACACATAAAATTAGTATCATCATTTCACATAATGTATCCACGTTTCACATAATGAAAGAATATTACGTGCTTGACAGTTAGGTTTTTATAATACGCACACTAAACCCTGAGCGCCTATCCGACGAGAGAGGAGGAGTCTGCCTTCCTCTGACGTATGCGTGTGAGAAAAGGAGGCCAGATAAACTGGCGGCGTTACGCGTTGGGTAACGAAGCGGTTTGCCCTCTCATAAAAAGTTATCACTTCAAAAACATTTATTTAAATGAATCCAAAAGGCGATATTCAATCTTTTTTGCATTAGCACCCCATTAATCAGCAGAGAAAGCACCATTCTCTAAATGAACTCTACATGAAACTAAGTTGCTTCCCGCTGTCTGTCGCTATGTATGCTTAGATCTTCAAAACTACACAACGAATTTTGATGCTGTTTTTTTTAATAGTTAGTGATTCAAGAGGCAGATATATGTAAATATTATGCTTAATATAGTAGAGAAACACTGATCATTTTAGTTTTAGAGGTTTCTAATGTGATGTCATGAATAAACACATTTTTTGCGTTCACATTGCAAACGCTGTGCTGGCTGAATCTTACGAGATAGTTAAAAAAATATACCATAGTATTGTACACCTAGAAAAGGTCTACAAAAAAGTCTGCGATGGTATATGTCTATCCTTTAGTGATTCCCACAATAACCATTTTTTATCCTCGAGAAATAATGGCTTGTTCACCAAGTGATTTTAAGCAATACTGCATTAATTCTTATCCAAAGTACCTTAAATACAGTAAGCATTTAATATGGCTCTTCATAGCATGTAGTTTAAATGAATATTTTCAAAGATATTACAGATTTTAAATGCAGGGACATAGCGGTTGCGGCGGTACCGACCGGGGGCTGGCGGCGCGTACCTGTAAATAGCGCGTCGAAGGCCGCGCTTCGCCCTATAGTATCAGCATTGCACCCGTGCGGAACCGGGGCGGTTCGCTAGTCAATAATGAAAAGAAGTTAGTAATAGTGCCGACTTGAGTTTGATCACACTGAATAGGTCGATACTGTTGTTGATGATGTCCTCGGTTGAATACCGTATTTTCTTGACCAGAATCCTTTTCGTTATCATTATTTTACCTGTGCGGAGGTGAATAACCACCAGTACAAATATATTTCTGACCTTGACTGCAGTTTCATAACTCTTCGCAGGGCCCATTCTAAAATATCCATTTCTACCAAGAAAGGTTCATTTGTTTCTGTTCGAATGTTTGTAACGTGTTTACTCGGCAATTCGACGATGAAACGATACCTTTTCATGTCGGTAATCATTGCCTTTCAATTGTAAAGCAATTAGACGAATGGCTATTCGTTACATAAAAGTAGGTATCTCGCCATTACGAATTTAGGTATTCGTATACTGGTTTCTTGGGTGTATCTCGTGGATTCATTTCTTCAGTGACAGTTTAAGAAGTGGTGCCTATTATGGAGAATCCAGGGGACAAAAACGATATGGATGAAGGATTTCAAAACGGTAATGTTAAAAAACAATTTTCTTTAAGGAATCGTTTATTTGTTCAATGCATGGCGGGGAATAGTGAATAAATACATTGACGTTGAAACAAGGTTATACTAACATGATAACGTACCTACGTAATAAATAGTATTGGCGATAAAGCCATGAATTTCATTTATAGTATAGTGATTGAAGGAAGAGGCAATTTCACCGAATAAGAAAATTTTCATATTTCGTTTGACACTGTTAGATTACTCAGATGTATTATTATATTGAAGTAGGTATGTGATTTGGGAGTCTGAGCTGTATAAATATAAACGGTTATAAAAAATTATAATGTTTTACAATTTCAGTCTCGTTATTAAATAGCCGGACCTCGAACTTATCTTCAGTAACTCCAAAAATGACCTCAAACTTGACTATTAGATGCTCGAGATACCCATTGTCTGATAAACGAACTTATAAGTTTTCAAGGGATAGAACTAGGACCTTTGACGTAGAATAAATCCAAAACATGTACGAGGTCTGTTCAAAAAATAAGGTGAATTCCGAAAAAAATTTCTATTTAGTCCCCTTTTGTCTCTCAGATGAATTACACTTGTGCCAGTGTGTTTTCCAATCCTCGAAGCGGTTCTGATTTACACTTTTGGATATGTCCTTGAGCTCTCAGCGATTTGGTTATTATCTCCTCAATCGTCTAAAAACGGCGTCCTTTCAGTTTTGGGAATAGGAAAAAGTCTCAGGGGGAAAATCTATTGATAACGGTGTCATTTTTGACCAAAAAATTACGAGCAGGTATATTGAGTTTGCAGTATTTTGTAGACTTTTCAACGTGTGTTACAAAAAAGGAGTTTTTTCTTCTTGTTGAAAGATTGCTCGCGTTCAGCCTATTCTGAAAAAGGGCAAGAAAAATCTTTCAAATATTTATAGACCGGTTGCTTTGCTATCAGTGATATCAAAAATCATGGAGAAAGTCATACACCACCATATCATCAGATATTTGTAAGGCTTCTACCTCTTGAGCGATCACCAATATGGCTTCCGGAAACCAAGATCAACAGGAGACCTTCTATCGTATGTCATCCATATTTGGGATAACAGGAAACATGGAGAATCAAGAGCTATTGCGCTTGATATTCCTAAGGCCTTTGACCGTGCGTGTCATGAGGGCTTGCTGGCCAAACTTCGATGCTATGGCTTGGCGGATCATTTCTGTGTATGGCACTTCAGCTTCCTGAAAAAACGTTCCCTGCAAGTGGCCGTCGATGAATATTTTTCAGAAACTTTCACCATCAAGGCGGGGGTTCTCCATGGATCCGTATTGTCGCCAACCCTCTTTTTATTGTATATCAATAACTTATAACAAGAATCCAATATATTACTTTCCTGACGACATCACATTTGGATTCCGGGTCATCGGCTACGGAGGCACATCTTCACCGGCAGCAGGAAGTTGCATATCTTGATAAGGATCTAGAAGTGATTTCTAATTGGGCATCGGTTTTCTCCAAGAAGATGAATGTCTCCGAACCGGATATAATAATGTCAGGACAGACAATTCCTCTTTCAGCTTCGATACGTTTTTTTACGCTGCCTGGCTTCTATTCGATGTTTTCAGTTGGATGTATCTTAGAAATACATCTTTTTTATTTAAAAGGAAAAACACCGCATCAACCACTAGGGTTATTAGCGGTTACAGTAGGCACATTAAATTTTGTTACAGATGCCAACATTTTCCAAAAAACTATAAAGGGAAGTAAAGTTCGTAACATCCAATGCATTGGTGAGGTCGCTTGGTAATCCGAAAAATTGTCTTTCTTCATTGAAAGCTGGGCAATCAGAGATGAAATGTTCAACACTCATCGTCACACTGCAGGTATCACAAATGCGAGGCTCTTCATGCTTTAGGAGATGTAGATGGGTAAATTTCGTATGTCCAATTCTCAGGCGTGTAANAAATTACGATATTGCAAAGTTTTAATGAAATAAATAAAAAATGTGTATGAATATTTTAACTAATTGTACTAAGAATTTTTCTTTCATTCTTAACCCTCTCAAAAATTAATAAGCACGCCCCCGATTTGCTGTCAACTGGGCTTACTTCTACTCTCAATCATTATTGGTTTTAGTATAATTAACATGAAAATCAAAAAATCCCACATGACAACGAATTCTAATAAAAGAAATCCGAACTGAATCATCCAATCCAGTTCGGATTTTTTTTCAACATTTATGATATCATTAATTACATGAAGGATGTTTACCCATCATCATATTTTTCAGGACCCATTTTTGCAATATTATTTTTCCAAATTTCTATTGTGGTGGTTCAATTTTCATTTCCCTGTATCAGAAATCGACTCATAATTTATGAATTATGAAATGGAAAATCATTCTCGCTGACATTTTTGTGACAAATAAATGAAGCATGACTCAGTGTCACTTCACAATTTTTTTTAAACGTCCTCGCAAAAACCTACCTTCAACCACTATCATTCATTCCAGATTCTTCGAAGAAGACCGGCCACAGATTGGTCGGTGATGTGGATTTTGAAGAGGCCAGTAAAGTAGCATCTTGCATCACACCAGTTCCTGGTGGTGTGGGACCAATGACTGTAGCGATGCTGATGAAAAACACTGTACAAAGCGCACAAAAACTGTCTCAAACCCTATTAAATTCGAAGTGGGATTTGAAAGTTTTACCGTTGAAATTGTTATCTCCAGTTCCCAGGTAAATATTACTTTTAGTTCGGGATAAGATTCTTAGGACAGTTTCTATTGAGTCATGATGATAATACATTGAATCTGTGTATCATTGAAGTGATCAGTTTGAAATACAAGAATAGTTTTGACCTCACTGATTCTAAACATAAAAATTGTCTTTTCAACACGTTTAAATTAGCTTCACTTGCATGTTTGTTTGTTTGTAACCGACTCCTTTGGACTCTATTTTTACTAACTTTAAACGGACAGATGTACTTCAAAATTTGAACACTCATCAAAAATCGGTGACAATATAGTAATTTCATAAGTTTATCTCATTATCCTGATCAGGATCGCCAGGATCAAATAATTTCCCCACATAGTCTCTGTGTGAGAGCACGGGAGACAACCACACTATCTGTGCATACGTATATATTTTATATTAAAACAAATGGGATTGAAATAGCAAGCCAAACTAAAAGGTGGAAAATAAATAATAGTTTAAAAAACTAAAAAAGGAAACACGCT